ATTCTATGAGGTCAGCATTACCCTAATACCAAAACTAGAGAAAATATTACAAGAAATGAAAACTACAGACCAGTATCTGTCATGAACACAGAAGTAAAATTTCCTTAAAAAACTGGTAAATTGAATTCAATGTTGTAAAAAAGAATTGTGTATTATGACCAAGTGGTGTTTATTTCAGGTATTCAGGTCTTATCTCAGTATTTGAAAATCAATTGGTATAATAGAATAGAGAAGAAAAATTGTTGACTGTATCAACAGATGAAGAAAAAGCATTTGAAAAAAATCCAACATGTATTCAAGATGAAAATTCTGAATAAAACCTATAGGGAACAATATACTTAATGGTGACAAAGACTGAACAAGGCAAATAGCATGGACTGTTTCAAAAAGATTAATTTTGACTTGTATGCAGCTTTGTGAAAATTCAGGCATGTAGTTTAAAAATAATTCAGGTTGTCCAGTATCTCACAGGGACGATTTGGAAATTATATTTGTTAACTGAGACAAAATAAACACAGTTGTTCTGAGATTACACGGATAATGAAGACAGTTTCGACTGGTAAGGAACTGGATACTGAACTGCACTATTAACGAATGTTAACTGAGAGTTATTCCTTTTTAGTATGATTGGTGAATTTTTATACAACGTAAGACAATTAAAAAATTTTTTTAAGTTTATTTTTGAAAGAGAGAGACTGAGTATGAGTGGGGGAGAGGCAGAGAAAGAGAGATAGAGAGAGAGAGAGAGAGACAGAATTCGAAGCAGGCTCCAGGCTCTGAGCTGTCAGCACAGAATCTGACATGGCACTTGAACCCATGAGCCATGGGATTATGACCTGAGCCGAAGTTGGATGCGTAACCAACTGAGCCACCCTGGTGCCCCACAACTTAAGACAATTTTTGTTAAAACTGCTCATTTTCGGGGCGCCTGGGTGGCACAGTCGGTTAAGCGTCCGACTTCAGCCAGGTCACGATCTCGCGGTCCGTGAGTTCGAGCCCCGCGTCGGGCTCTGGGCTGATGGCTCGGAGCCTGGAGCCTGTTTCCGATTCTGTGTCTCCCTCTCTCTCTGCCCCTCCCCCGTTCATGCTCTGTCTCTCTCTGTCCCAAAAATAAATAAACGTTGAAAAAAAAATGTTTAAAAAAAAAAAAACTGCTCATTTTCATTTGCTTTAAGGTATTTTTTTTTCTTCCTTGTTTTTCTAAATAAAGCACAGTAGCCAGGTCAAAAATCAGCAAGCGAGACTACATTAAACTCGAAAGCTTCTGAAGAGCAAAAGAAACAATTAACAGAATGAAAAAACAAAAAAAAACTACAAGAAAGGGAGAAAAGGTTTGCAAATCATATACTTGATAAGGGATTACTGTGTTGTGTACTTGAAAGTGTCTAAGAGAGTTAATATTAAATGTTCTCACCATCACAACAAACAACACAGTATTCTTAACTGTAATCACAATGCTGTATATTAGATTCCCAGAATTTATTCCTCTAATAATTGAAAGCTTGACCAGTAACTCCCCATTTCCCCACCCCTCAGCCCCTGGTTGTTTTCATGAGTTCCGTTGTTTTAAATTCTGCATATAAGTTATATCATACAGTATTTGTCTTTCTGATTCATTTGCTTAGCATAATGCCCTCAGGATTTATCCATGTTTTCTCAAATAGCAAGATTTTCTTCTTTTTATGGCTGAATAATATTCCACTGTGTGTGTGTGTGTGTGTGTGTGTGTGTGTGTGTGTGTGTGAGAGTGTGTGTAGAGAGCGAGAGAGAATGAGAATCCCGTTTTCTTTATCAATTCATCTGTTGATGGACACTTAAGTTGCTTTCATGTTTTGGCTATTGTGAAAATACTACAGTGAATATGGGGGTGCAGATATCTTTATGAGAGAGTTACTTCATTTCCTTTAGATAAACACCCAGAAGTAGGATTGCTAGGTCATATGGAAGTTCTGTGTTTAATTTTTTGAGGAACCTCCATACTGTTTTCCATTGTGGCTATACCAGTTTACATTCCTACCAGTGGAAATTCCCTTTTCTCCACATTGCTTGTCTTTTTGATAGTAGTCATCCTAACAGGTGTGAAGTGATATTTCATCATAGTTTTTATTTGTATTTACCTGATGATTAGTGATGTTGAGCACCTTTTCATGTACTTATGGGCCATTTATATGTCTTCTTTGGGAAAGTGTTTATTCAGGTTCTTTGCCCATTTTTAATAGAATTATTTGTTTTTTACTATTGAGTTGTATGAGATTCTTCTGTAATTTAGATATTAATCCCTTGTCAAGTATATGATTTGCAAATCTCTTCTCCCTTTCTGTAGTTTGCTTTTCCAGCTGTTGTTTCTTTTGCTCTTCAGAAGCTTCTAGTTTCTGGCTGCTGTGTTTTATTTAGAAAAACAAGAAAGCAAAAAAAAAGTACTCTAAAGCAAATGAAAATGAGAAGTATTAACAAAAATTGTCTTAAGTTGTGGGGCACCATAGTGGCTCAATCGGTGAAGCGTCCAACTTTGGCTCAGGTCATGATGTCATGGTTCAGAGTCATCAGGATGGATAGATGTTTAAAGCATTTTGATCTGTGTTCTTGCTCTGGCATGCCAGAGTGGACAGTATGCAATCAAAACCAAAACCTCCTGGAATTCTTCAGTCTAAAACACTGACAAGCAAAAAATTACAATGGTCAAAATGAATCCATAGTCTGACCCTCCAGTTGCTATGACAGGAAAATTGAAATTGGAGCAAAGAAAAATTTTTTCAGTGAATAGATTGAACTATAGTTTTAAAGCAAAAATTACTCTCCTGTAGACAAAGTTAATCTATAACTTTTTGTTAACTTGTCTCTGTATTTTTTCTATGATGACTGATATTTTAAAAGGCATGAAAGCTTGCAAACTCCTAAAGTCAACTTTAGAGAGCATATTTAAAGTCCTTTATTGTTTTCCTCTGAGATTCTGCTAGTGAATAAAACACAAAAATGAGCATGCATGCATGCATGTGTTCATGTGCACGTACACACATACACGCACACACACACACACACACACACACA